GTTGGTTTTTGTAAAGTAAAGTGTGAGCAGCTCTAGTGACAGAGTCTGTAAGGCCCGGCCCTGGCATACTGCTAGAGCGCTCGGGCTGGGGTTCTAATGGGAAGTGGATGAACGTGTTTCGGAGAGCTCCACGGTATCTGAGGCGGCCTAGGGTAAATGATGGGGTGATAGTGAGCTCATACTTGTCTAGTTGAATTTGAATAGAGCGTGGTATGGAAATATATTCCTCATTGTCACCACCCTGCATCGCCTCTCGTCGGTGCCGCATGGACATTAGCCGACCTAGGAATGAATCTTCAAAGATACTCTTTGTACGATCTCATAGAGACGGGCTGTATCCTGGGCGCTCGAGAATATCGCGCTCGCCATTGTAATCGATTATGTGACCAGTGACGCGGAAAGGAAACGACTTGAGCTATCACGTATTTTAAGCCTCTTTCATTAATTGTAACCGCATGGGTTGCGTCCAGACCGTCCCCAACGATCGTGTTGCCGTTATCACAAGGTAGCGCTATACTTCTTGGCTTGTTTATTTATTTTTCTTTACGCAGATTCGGTAAGTTCGACCGTCTCGGCCAGCCGGGTTTGCTGTGCTTGCCGATACCCTGTATCTGTGTGAGGGCAGGGGATGTCTCTGTGAGAATTCAAGAGACTTCTATGACCTGCGAAACGAAGACTAAGGATAACGTCTTTGTTAGCATACAAGTAAGTGTTCGCTCTCCTCAGCTGAGCTCAGTGAGTTTTCCCACTAATGATAGAATTTACATATGAATTCGGGTAGGAGTCTAGAGGAACTAAAGAGATTTCTTCTTCAGAATTTTTGTAATTGTCACCAACATCTGTAGCTGATCATGTGCATATCTTCTCGTTAGGTTGCCGTACAATATGAAGTAATCAAGGCGAAGATATACGAAGCTTTCTATCGCCTTCACAACCCCACAGTACAGATCAACTCGTACGTGTTCGATGTGGTTCGATCGACGGTGCCTGGCATGCTACTTGATGACGTTTTCGAGTCAAAAGATGAGGTAACGATAGTAGTTTGTGTATCACTGTTTACTCTTGCTATAACGCCAATATCAATAAATACGCGACGGAGTTGATATAACATATAACCGATAATGTTGCTATAACATTAGTAGGAGCATATGAGCGATGATGTTACCGTAGCCACTTGCAGCTAGGCGTATTGTATGCATTGTGGATAGTAAATTCGAAAGGATTGCAGACTGATAATATCAGTGCATAATTAGTAGTCGTATCGCATTGAAAATAGGAGTTGTACAGACACACGCCGTGTTGATGGATATGCGCACAGTTGTATTTTAATATTAATCATCTACGTTATGTAGACCTACCAGTATCACAGCAGCGTGGACGCTCACAAGGAGCGAATGAGCTCAATTTAGACATCCATATGGTGTCTTTGAGAGCTTAGTCTGTGAAAGTGTACATGGCACTGTAAATGGAATAACTTTTGAATTGTTATTCGATCGTCTGAAGGGTCGGTCATGAGCCCTGCCCTGTTATAGGTTGCCAAACAAGTGAAGGATCAGCTACAGAAGATTATGGGTGAATTCGGATTCCAGATCAACCAGGCTTTGGTAACTGACATTTCTCCTAATCGTAAAGTTAGAGATGCTATGAATGAGATCAACGCCAACCGCAGGCTGAGGTGTCGTGCTTGTGGATCGTCGGTTGGGGTAATGTTGGTTACTCAGAGTGGCGGCTACTGAGAAGGCTGAGGCGGAAAAAGTCGTCATTGTGAAGCAAGCAGAAGCAGAGGCCGAATCGAAGTTCCTGCAAGGACAGGGTACAGTCGAATAGATTGTCTC